CTCACACCACGTCTCTCTCTCTCTCTCTCTCTCGCTCTCTCTCCCACCCCTGCGTCGTCGGACGGGCGCGAGGCCCGCGCCCTCGCCTCGTCCTCACCCTCACCCTCACCCTCGTCCTCGTCCTCGCCGCCGCCGCCGCCGCGCCCGCCGCCGCCGCCGTCGTCGCCTCTATCGTTGTCGTTGTCGTCGTCGTCGTCGTCGTCGTCGTCGTCGTCGTCGTCGTCGTCGTCGTCATCCTCCCCTACCTGCGTTGAGGGGCATCGTCAGGAGGGGACCAGCCCAGGGGGGAAACGTCGACCCGGAATCGGCGGCACATCGGCAGTGTTAGGCCGCCGACAGGCCCCCGAGAACGAGTCCGCACTCCCGTGCATGGTGAGCTCTCGGGCCTCCGTCGGCGATCCATGGGCGAGTGGGGGTCGATGCGTTCCCCCCAAAGCTCATCCCTCCCCTACACGTCGTTGTGAAGCAGCAGGTAGAAACATGAAGCAGGAAGGCGTCTAAGTAGATTGGGTCCCCGCCCCACCCCCTGCAGATAAAGGAAGAAGGGAAGCCCCTCGATCCTTGAAGGAAGGCGCCTAGAGTATATCAGAACCTGGGAATCCAAAAATACATACTGTCAACGACCGGCGTGTACGTGTACTGTTTCCCCTTGGTTTTCGGGTCATAACTCTGCTATCCGCAGGCCGTTCGGGACGACTCGGGGACACCCAGGAACGCCCTCGGCGAGGCGCAGCTGCTGGAGAGCACCACGAGACTGGAAAGCCGCCGAGAACCGACGAAAACGCCAGAAAACATGTCCCTTGCTCTCCTCGCGATGACGATGCTGATGACGGTGACGATGACGATGACGATGACGTCATCATCGTCGTCGGCATCGTCATCGTCATCGCCATCATCATCATCATCATCATCAACATCATCATCATCATCATCATCATCATCACCATCACCATCACCATCACCATCATCATCATCATCATCATCATCATCATCGCGACGCCCAACCAGGCCAGGACCTTTTGTGTGTCTCTGGCCAGGCTGGTCGAGCAGGACAGGACGGACCACGCTCCAAGCTCGGCAGAGGGGAGGGGGGCGAACGAACGGCACGACGCACACGGCACAAACACACACCACAACACCACACCACACCGAACGAGAGAGGAAGAGAGAAAAAAAAAGGGAGGAAACGGGCGGGTCAGAAAAAAAGGCTTGGGCCGAAGCGGTGGCAGATGCAGCACCGCGCGGCCCTCCAACGCTCTGCGATTACTGTTCAAGAACTCCCCATCGCGACGCTCAACCAGGCCAGGACGGGCCACGCTCCAAGCTCGGCGGAGGGGAGGGGGGCGAACGAACGGCACGACGCACACGGCACAAGCACACACCACAACACGACACCACACCGAACGAGAGAGGAAGAGAGAAAAAAAAACAGGAAGCGGGCGGATCAGAAAAAGGCTTGGGCCGAAGCGGTGGCAGATGCAGCACCGCGCGGCCCTCCAACGCTCTGCGATTACTGTTCAAGAACTCCCCATCGCGACGCTCAACCAGGCCAGGACCTTTTGTGTGTCTCTGGCCAGGCTGGTCGAGCAGGACAGGACGGGCCACGCTCCAAGCTCGGCGGAGGGGCGGGGGGCGAACGAACGGCACGACGCACACGGCACAAGCACGCACCACAACACCACACCACACCGAACGAGAGAGGAAGAGAGAAACCCAAGTCACCCCGAATGGGATTCTGGCATTAGCCGCAACTAACTAATTGTCGGAGTCGGCTCAATTTAAGTGACTGGGTCGCCTGCTCCAACGCTCGGGCAAACAGGACACAAAAACGACCAGGGTAAGGCTCAGCGACTCTGGTCCAAAAATTGCCCGAGTTTGGGTCTCGGCCAGAAAAGACAATATGGCGCTTGCCCGTGAAACTGCACTGGCCCGAGCGCCCGCGACACGGCCCTGGGAGGTTTATCCGAAAACTGGAACTCCAGACCTGGACACGGGCGCGTTTTCGCCAGCGGGCTCCGAGGGCGCAAAAATCCACAACGCACTGATGGCGATCTGGCCGCCTACAAAGGCGGGCAAGCTGAGCAGTCTGCCACATATAGCTGCTACTTGGATCCTCCAACGCCACCGGAACCTGGTTGCTACGGCAGGCACGGATCAAGGAAAAACAGAACTTGAGCTGGGAAGTGCCCTTTTCACAAGCTAGGCGAGCCCGTTGGCTGAGGTTTGGTAAACCCCACAGATGAGAAGGGCTCTTGAGACGGCACCAACTACTGTTTGGGGGCCCGTGCCTAGCCTGAGACCAAGAGCAGCGAGGTGTCCCCATCCACAGACCGACGACGACCCCCCCCCGTGATCCACCCCCGCACGATCTTCTGAATGCAAAGCCTATCCAGATCGGGGGAGCTTTGAAATGTCGACCGACACGACCCCAAAACCGAGGTTTCGCATCGCCTTGGAGATGCCCCCATGGCCAGAATAAAATTCAAGGAAAACTTGCTTCCTAGAGACCCGCGCTGAGGTCAGCGCCTTTCTCAGCACTCGCCGCACCCTCACCCTGATTTTGCCATCGCTGAGCAGGGCCCCGCGGGAGGCGCCGGCAGCGGCGGCGGGCCCTCGCGATTGAGGAACCCTGTGGTCCAACCGGCTCTTTTTTTAAGACGATACGTATGTTCTCATTTTAGAAGGGTTCGTCTCATTATATAAGACGAAGCCTCATTACATGATGCGATATGTGCTGCAACGACTAAGCTGTAGGTTTTACGTAGCTTTGTACTGTTGGCCGATGGCTTATGTTTGTCAATACCAAACCTTCCTCTTCACCTCCCTTCGCCGCCGCGCCACGCACGGTCTCATCTTTGCACGCAGCCGACCACCCTGAAACAAACATCACGCACCCCAGCAGTTCGGGAAGAAGAGCAGGAGGAGGAGGAGGAGGAGGAGGAGGAGGAGGAGGAGGAGGAGGAGGAGGAGGAGGGGGGGGGAAGGTGGCAATGGGGGGGGGGGGGGGTAGGAAGAGCAGGAAGGCGGGAGGAAACAGAAGACAGAGAGAGAGAGAGGAGAGAAAGCGAGAGAGAGAGAGAGAGAGCGAGACAGGAAGGAGGAGGAGGAAAGGAAAGGAAAAGGATGAGAAGTGGGAACAAGGAGGAGGACGAAGAGGCGGAGGAGGAGGGGGAAGAGGAGGAGGAGGAGGAGGAGGAGGAGGAGGAGGAGGAGGAGGAGGGAGGGGGAGGAGGAGGAGGAGGAGGAGGAGGAGGAGGAGGCGGAGGAGGGAAGGAGGAGGAGGCAGAGGAGGAGGAGGAGGAAGAGGAGGAGGAGGGGGCCGCTCCCCCCCCCACCGCCCCCGAGCCATTTGGCTTAGGGCACTGGGCCCTCGAGGCCCAGGGCGCAGGGCCCTCCCGAGCCCGCGGCCGCGCGCGGCGCGGCCCGCGCCCTGGCGTGCAGGATGCCGCCGAAGGCGCTTCTTCTTCTTCTTCTCTCTCCTCATTCTCCTCTACCTCCTCCTCCTCCTCCTCCTCCTCCTCCTCCTCCTCCTCCTCCCTCTCGTCATCTAGCTCATCTCGTCTTGATCATCCTCTCTCCCGTTTCGTTTTTTTTTTTTTTTTTTTTTTGTTTTTCCCCCCCCCCTCTCCTCCACCTCTCATTCTCTCCTCATTTCCTACTGTCGTTCTCCTCGCTCCCTCAGTCTTCCTTTTCCTCCTTCTCCCCCCCTCCTCTTTTCCCCCTCCGCTTCCTCGTCCTCCTCCTCCTCCTCCTCCTCCTCCTCCTCCTCCTACTCGTTCTCGCCACCTGAGCTCGCAGGCTTGCGCGTGCCCGTCGCCACAGTTCGCGCAGCCGTGAAAGGGCTGATGAGGAGGAGGAGGAGGAGGAGGAGGAGGAGGAGAAGGAGGACGGAGGAGGAGGAGGAGGAGGAGGAGGAAAATGATGATGAGGAGGAGGAAGATGAGGAGGAGGATGAGGAGGAGGAGGAGTAGGAGGAGGAGGAGAAGGAGGAGGAGCAGCAGAAAGGGGCAGGAGGAGCAGGAGGAGCAGGAGGAGGAGGAGGAGGAGGAGGAGGAGGAGGAGGAGTTGGGGGGTGAGTGCTGGGGGACGGCGCCGCCGCCCCCCATCCGACGCGCCGCCCAAGGGCTTCAAGAAGACATGCGCGTGCCAGGACGCCCCCCTCCTGGCCAGCGTCTGGAAGGCACACGTCGACTCGGTGAGCTGGGCGGACATTGACTCGAATGAGATCACCGAGGATGACATCAAAGAACATAAGATGTTCCTCCTTGCGACGAGGTCGGCTGGCGGCGCTCTCGTGACGAAGACCGCGGCAGAGGCGGGGGAAGGAGGAGGAGGAGGACGAGGGAAGAGGGAAGAGAACGAGGACGAGTGGGGGAAGGAGAAGGAGAAGGAGGAGGAGGAGGAGGAGGAGGAGGAGGAGGGGCAGGAAGGGGCAGGGGAAGGAAGAGGCGGAACAAATAAACAGGAGGGGGGGGAGGAAAGGACGGGGGCGGCAGAAATGGAGGAGAAGGAGAAGGAGGGGGAGGAGGAGGAGGAGAAGGAGGAGAAGGAGGAGGAGGAGGAGGAGGAGGGGGAGGAGGAGGAGGAGGATAAGGGATCGGAGGAGGACAACGGGTCGGAGGAGAAGGATGACGAGAAAAAAAGGAGGAGGAGGAGGTGCAGGATGAGGAAGCAGGCCGCAATGCTGCAGCTCGCCCGCGCCAGCGAGGAGAAGTGGCACCTCGCAGACTCGGCAAAGGGCTGGGCCAAGGATAAGGCGGCTTGCGCGAGGGCCATGCTCATGTATCTGCACAAGAACATGAACAGGACCCAAGTAGTGAAACATATGCGGAGGAAAGTGAGGAGAAGAGAGAGAGAGAGAGAGAGAGAGAGATGACAGGAGGAGTAGAGCCCACGGGAGGAGGACGGAGCAGCGGCCACGGGGGGGCACAACCACAACACCTATCAGGAAGCAGCCGCCGAAGTGGGCGCAGCCGTTCGCGCTGGCCGGCGCCGCGCAGCCCGCCGCGGTCGGCGACGACGCAGACGGCGGGCGCGCGGAGTCGGACGGCGAGGGCGCGTCGGACGGCGAGGGCGCGTCGGACGGCGAGGGCGCGTCGGACGGCGAGGGCGCGTCGGACGCCGAGGGCGCCGACGACGCCGAGGGCGCCGACGACGCCGAGGGCGCCGACGACGCCGAGTGCGCCGACAAGGCCGAGGGCGCCGACAAGGCCGAGGCCGTGCAGCGCGAGCCCTCGTTCAGGAGGTCACTCGGCATGAAGCGCCCGAAGCTCATCGCCGACGATTGCATCGGCAAGTGGCAGCTCGGCTTCGACCAGGTCACCCAGGCAGCGCCCTCACGAAATCAAGAAGACCAAAACCAATCCTCACCCTCCTCCTCTCCCTCCTCCTCCTCCTCCTCAGCCTCCTCCTCATTTGCCTCCTCCTACTCCTCCCCTTGCTCATTCCCGTGCTGCAGCCGATGCTGCACCTCCTCAGCGTCCTCATTATTAGTCTGCTTTTCCTCCTCCTCCTCCTCATCCTCCTCCTCCTCCTCCTCCTCATCTTCCCCCTCCTCCTCCTACTCCTCCTCCTCCTCCTCCCCCTCCTCCACCTCCTCCTTCTCCTCCTCCTCCTCCTTCCCCTCCTCCTTCTCCTCCTCCTCCTCCTCCTCCTCCTCCTCCTCCTCATCGCCCATCTTAATCTGCAAAGCGGGTATGTCTTTGCTCCGCTCCCGTATCCATGGCCATCAACCAGGGAATCGTGGGAAATCCACCTCTGTTCCACCTCTGTTCCACCTGTGTTCCACCTGTGCTGTCACACTCCCACTAGTGGCTGGTGAGGGGTGGGAGGAGGAAGAGTGGGGATGAGCAGGAGGAATAGGAGAGGGAGGATACTGAGACGGCAGATTAAGGAGGACGCTGAGGAGGATGAGGATGAGGGGGGCGAAGACGAGGAGGAGGTGGAGGAGGAGGAGGACGACGAGGAGGAGGAGGAAGAGGAGGGGGAGGAGGAGGAGGACGAGGACGAGGAGGAGGACGAGGACGAGGAGGAGAAGGGGGGGGGGGAGGAGGAGGAGGAGGAGGAGGAGGGAGGAGGAGGAGGAGGAGGAGGTGGAGGAGGAGGAGGAGAAGGGAAGGGTGAGGAGGAGGGGAGGAGGAGGAGGAGGAGGAGGAGGAGGAGAGGAGGAGGAGGATGAGGAGGAGGGGAGGAGGAGGAGGGAGGAGGGGGAGGGATGAGGATGAGGAGGAGGAGGAGGAGGAGGAGGAGGAGGAGGAGGAGGAGGAGGAGGAGGAGGAGGAGGAGGAGGAGGAGGAGGGGGGGGAGGACAGGAGGAGGAGGAGGAGGAGGAGGAGGGGGGGGAGGACATGAGGACAGAGATGACAATGAGGACAAGGAGGGCGAGGAAGTGGAGGGCCAGGAGAAGGATGAGCGGGATTGATGCGAGGAAAAACAGGACAGGGTGGCGAGGTGAAGGAGGAGGAGGACAGGGAGGGGAGGGAGGCGGAGACAGACCGCGCAATCACAGGCTGCTTGGCGGACGGAGAGCATAGATAAAGCAGCCTTGGAGTATGCCTTGGTGAAGTGCGGGGACGACGACTCCGTGCTGGCGGAGTGGCCAGATGGTACATTGTGGAGGGTGCCCAACAGGAAGTATTCGGAGATCAGCTTCGAGGCGCCCTCCACCCAGAAGGGAGAGAACATCCTCGGTGAGGAGAACAATGCTGAGGGCGCCAGGTGCTACATCCAGCGGGTCGCGAAGTCCGACGAGACGTGGCTGGTGTTGTGGCTGAAGAAACCTGGCGCCCCTCAAAAGCAGATACTGCAAGTCAAGAGGTACGTCGAGGAGAACACGGCGCTGCGCTTCATGCGGTCGTGCCTCAGCAGTTTCGCCAAGGGCGAGAAGGACAAGGCGCAGCTGGAGGAGGACAAGGTGAAGTACTTCAAGGAGTTCGGACGACGTGGCGATCGACAGGCTGATGGAGAGCCCGCTGGGGAGCCCGCCGCGAAGCAGAAGAAGCACGTCAAGAAGGCGAAGGCAGAGTGCAAGCCCGGCGCGGCGCAGACAACGGACAAGGCCGATGCAGAGCGAACGCCAGAGGCAAAGGTGAAGGCAGAGTGCAAGCCCGACGAGGCGCAGACAGCGGCCAAGAAGGCCAAGGTGAAGGCAGAGTGCAAGCCCGACGAGGCGCATGACGAGACCGAGGTGAAGGCAGAGTGCAAGCCATGCGAGGCGCACGAGGCCAAGGTGAAGGCAGAGTGCAAGCCCGACGAGGCGCAGGAGGCCATCACGAAGGCAGAGTGCAAGCCCGACGCGTCGCAGGACAAGACGGTCGTCATCGAGCACGAGGGCGCGGGCAGCGTTGCAGCAGCGCCTAAGGCCAGTGGGGTATGGCGGAGGAGTGCGGACAATGATGGCAAGGTGGAGGATGAGGACGGAGGAGGAGAGATACGATGAGGAGAGGGAGAGAGTGAGGAGGAGGAGGAGAAAGAGGCGGAGGAGGAAGAGGAGGAGGAATGGGGGAGCCAAAGGAGGGAGGAAACGATGGTGGTGTTACAGCTCCAGGCCACAGGAGGAGGAGGGGGAGGGCGACGAGGAGGAGGAGGAAGGAGGAAGGATGATGGAGGACGAGGGAGGAATAGGGGAGGAGGATGAAGGGAGGTGGAGGAGGAGGAGGAGGTCATGGGGAGAGGAGGGGCACGAGGAGGAGGAGGAGGAGGAGGAGGAGGGGGAGGAGGAGGAGGAGGACCCCTCGCGCACAGGCGCTACGGGAGCAGCCGACCTCCAGGCCGCCGACCGCCAAGCAGCAGGCCAAGAGGCAGAGGGCGCAGGATACCGAGCGGGGAATCCTGCCTTACCCGACGGGGGGGAGGGGAGGAGGAGGAGGAGGAGGAGGAGGAGGAGGAGGAGGAGGACGAGGACGAGGACGAGGAGGAGGTGGGGGAGGAGGAGGAGGAGGAGGAGGAGGAGGTGCAGGGGGAGGCGGAGGAAGAGAGGGCGGAGAAGGAAAAGGGGAAGATGCGGAGAGGAATGAAGGAGAGAAACTGCAGGAGGAGGAGTGTGAGGGGAGGGGGGGAACAGGAGGAGGGGGAATATGAGGACGAGGCCGATAAATAAAGGGATGAGGAGGGCGGGGAGAGAAGGGGGCAGCAGCGGGGGGCAGGGGGGAGCTGAGGGCGAGGAGAAGGAGGAAGATGAGGACGGTGAATAGGATGGGGAAGGGATTGGGGACGGCGGGGGTTCGAGACGGTGGAGAGGGGGAGAGGGGGGGAGGAACGGCGGGAGGAGGAAGAGGAAGAGGATGCGAGGATGGCGAAACTGGCGGAAGGATCGTTGCTCGCGGCGACGCGCCCGCGCCCTCCCTCCGACAGGAGGGCGCAGCAGACGCGACCGCGATCAAGAGGTCGAAGAGCTCGGACGACGTGATGGGCGTGATTCCTGGCGGCCTCTTCGATGATTTTTAACCTGTTATAGGTTTGAAAAGGAGGGTGGAGTAGACAGGCGGGGGCAGGATGGGGGGGTGGAACAGGCGGTGCGGATTGGGGGGCAGGGATGATTGGAGGGGGCAGGTCGGCGGAGGAATGCCGTTCAGGCACCTGCATAGCCCAGCCGTCCAGGCAGCCCGAAGCCTGGCGGCAGAACCGAGCGGAGCTCGGACCCGGTGCCCACGACGCCGTCGACGACGCAGACAACGCTGACACGACGCTAATGACGACGACGACGACGGAAGCGATCACGACCACGTCGAGGGTCGACATTTCAGGCTGCAAGCGCGGCTCAGGTGCGTGATTACTCACGGCGTGTGCCGCCAGAGACCTCGCCCAACGGCCTATTTAGTTTCGCCCTACCCATCCTTCCCTCCTCAGCCTCCACATTCATCTTCCTTGACCACCTTCCCTCCCTCCCCCGGCCTTCCCCCCTCAACTTCCTAGGCCCATCGAGCCAGCCTCCTCCTCCTCCTCATCGCCCGTTTCATCCTCCATGGCCAGTGTTGGGCAATTGCGGGGCATCGCAGCGTGCCGTCGAGGGCGGGGCGCCCTCGCTGGCAAGCGTTTCAGCGAGCAGAACGGAGCGTGCTCTCTCTGGCGGAGAGGTTTGCGCCCAAAGGTTTCGGCATTGTCTCTGAGCCCAGTCGTTCTCACATCATCGTCTTCCTCCTGCCCCCCTCCTCCTCACCCTCCTCCTCCACATCTTCCCCCTCATCTTCATCTTCTCATTCCTCCGCATCCCTATCCTTACTCCGCGTCGCCCGTTCCAGACATCCTCAACATTTTCTCAGGAAGCTCACTCAGAAAACGGAAGGTCCTCGCTGTGCGAAAGGTTCTCCAAGTACTCTTCAAGTAAGTGAGGCAATAACTCCTTCCACGGCCAGGTCCGCAATTCCCAATGGTACAGCCGAATCCAAAACCCATCCCTCTCACACACAGGGTTCATATTCACGAACAAGGACGGGCTGGGCGGGATCGTATCGCTGGATACAGAAATCACTTCAGCACGCTGGAACGCGGTGTCAGTGGAACCACGAGGGCATTCGCGTCGTGGGCTAACAGATTCAGTCGAGCTCTGCATCTCGCGTCGGGCAGCTTTCGACGACGACGGGACGGGGCTGACCCGTGGGCGCTTCATGGCTGAACCAAGTGGCTACTGAGAGGAGGAGGAGAGAGGAGGAGGGGCGACGTGGAGGAGGGGGACATGTTCAAGTAGGAAAACCATAAACAGGGTATGGGGTGCCTTATGGGGCTCCAACTGGGCTGCTCCAGGCAACGGCTGCTCGAACCCCGACTAGATCGGCGCCTTCGGAAGGCTTCAGTGGCACGCGTACTCTCGAGCTCTAGGTCTGCCCGGCGAACCCCGCCCCCAGGCCCCCGAGGTCCTTAAGAGTCCCAATGGGGGGTGAAGCCCAAGAGAACCTGAGGGTCACCAGGGGCATGTCATAGCATAGCCATTTGGGCCGAAGCCAGATGAGTGCCACCAGCAGGCCATTTCAGGAGCCCGTTCCGAAGCACTGGAGGTCAACACCCCTCTTCAACAGTTTCAACGCTTCGATGTCGTCACAGGAAATGCAGCAGGGAACGCCAGTTTTGGTCGACGCCAATGACAACGAGTTGAATTCGGCTGAGCTCGACCGTCAGCTTGAGGACGCGTTGCAGGAGGCCGAGCGGGCGGGTGAGACGCAGCACAGAGAGCCAGCCACGCAGACGCTAGTCGAGTCGGCGCCAGATGCGCCACGTCCAGAAGGGGGAGCACAGCCAGGGGATGAGAAGGAGGAGGATGTGCCAGCGGAACAGCCTTCGCCACTAGATGTGACCAGTAGCCTCGAGCGAGATCATGATGCGG